TTCAGAGGCCTGCTATTTCAGAAGTGGGTGGCCAATCCTTCTTCCTAGTCTGTCTTAATCTGAATGTTCAGATTTAGAGGAGTATCTGACAGACACTAGTGTATCTAGTGGACTTTATTAGTAGCCAAAAAAAATTATTCATTCATAAATGCTTGTGCATACATTTTCGTCCACCTTCCCACCAGAAGACAAAAAGATTAAAAGAGATGCATAAAAGTATTTAAAAATAAAAAACTAAAAGGAAAAAAGAAGATGAAATCAGGGCAAATGGAGTTAAGAGCAGAGGAGTGAGATGAAACTGGGAGGCTGTTACAACACGAGGCTTGTTCATACCTCAGCCTGAGGTTCAAGGGGCATGTGTCCGCCCCTCCCAGCTGAAAGCGAGAAGCTGAGTGCCTCGGATGGTGTCTCAGGCCCACAGTGCCTGTCCTGTGAGGCTGTCTCGGATGCTATGAATTGTAAAGTATACAGTGTTGGAACAGAGTTAGGAGGCTGGAAACAGAAGAGCCACCTTGACTTACAATACCTTCAAAAATAGAGTCAAGCCACCATGTTAATGAAATCGCTAATAGAAATATAAAACAAAGTTTACAGGTATGCTTTTACTCTGAGAAAATGTACCATGTGTGTTCTGCTAAAGGGTGAGAAAGGGGAAATGCGTGACATTTTAGAGTCAGCAGTGTGGAGGCACCCATCTGCCCATGTCATTGTACTCATGGCGCTGTCAGCTGGCGTGACGCTCACTGGGAGATGCTCATGTGTGGACTGACTGCGCCCCAGATTCTGTAGGAAACAGAAGCTCCACGAGCTCAGGTCACTCATCGGCTGTGACAGCAGCCACCTCCAGCGCCTCGGCAGCCGTTGCAGCTTCTTCATTAAGGCAGAAGAAGGTGTGTTCTTCATGGACATCTATTGAAAAGCCAAGAAAAGCAACCGTCAAATGGATTGGCCACGCCAGTGATGCAGAATTTACATGGTGTTTTGTTACATGATATTTTTAGCGGGACAATCATCAGGATTACCTAAAGCTATCACTTGGCAGCCCCACACACAACAGTGCTAAGAGGACCACCGGAAAGACTTGTGCTATTCGGTGAGGTCAAGTCAACTGCAACTCTGAACAACAGCTGGGCAGCGTGCCCTATGCTGAGTCACCGTCAGGATCTCGGTCAGGCTCATTGTCACACAGCAGTTACTGTGTCAAACCATCATGTTGAGGGGCTTCCTCTCTTAACTGACCCTCAGTTTTTTTCCAGCATAATATCTGTTTCCCACTCGCAGCCCCTTCTGAGATGCCCAAAGTATGAGAGGAAGATTCACTACTGCCTCCAAGTCAACTTTGTTCATGGGATTTTCAACACTTTTCACCAACACCACACTCCAAAGTCATTGATGATTCTTTGGTCTTCTTTATTCCTTGTCCAACATTCACATGTGTACGAAGCAGGTGGAAGTACCATGGCTTGAATCCAGGTAGCTCTGGTGGCTTAGTGGCAAGAAGCCGTGCTGTCAACCTAAACACAAATGGTTTGAATCCACCAGTTGCGCCATGGGAGAAAAATAGGCAGTTGACACATGATTTGCTGCCTCTGAAAACCTGCGGGAGAGTCAGCTATGGGTCAGGTCCTACTCGATGGCACTCAACAACAACAATAAACATGAATCAGGCACACCTTAGTCTTTAAGTGGACATCCTCACTCGAGTATTTTAAAGACGTCCCTGATAGCAGACTTGTTTGCCCAATGCAGTATGTCCATGGAAAGCTTTCTAGAACCATTTAAAACTGGGCTCAACATCAACCTCAACCCTGCAATGCAGCTACTCTTCATTGTCCTTTATCCACTCACCCAACATTCTGCAACATTTTGATGGGCAGTGGCCTTTGGGGCACAGAAAAGGGTGAGAGAACTTGGACTTGGGACTTGGATTGCTGCAGTCAAGCTCTCCAAAATGATGACCTTGTTTTAATGGTTGAGTTTGTGCTAAGACTTCCTACTAAAAAAAAATTAGAAAGATTGGTGTTTTCATTTCTTGATGCCCTTCACATTGACTGCTGCCAATGCCAGGAGGCTAGTTAATCCGTAAAGCATGGGTTACCTGAAATGTCACTAGAGTGGGCTAGTCACTGGCATTGCCCAGAAGCAAATGGTACCCTTTGTGGTGAAATCTGCCTGGAAATGTGATTGGTCAGCTAAGGGATGTGAGGTTTCCCGCAGACAGGATGGTATGAAAACAAAAGGCAGGAGACAGGTGAACAATACCATGTCACCCAATTCATGAAAAGAAGCCTTTGCATTCAACATGCACAGATCAGCACAAGAAAATAGAGTGCCCTTATGTGACTGAGAAATGGGCTCCCCCAAGTATGGCTTTCTATGGAATCTTCACACTCGCTGCCACTGCCCAGCCTCAGCTAAGAGCATCATCACAATTTTTGTTGGTCTCTAAAATGTCTCTGTCTCTTAACCCATGTTTTAGCCATCACAATAATCCCCAAAACACACGTGCCTATTTCAGGTGTTTCTCCCCAGTCAGCCAATGCACAGGGTGGCTCTTCCTGGCGTCATAAATGATTGTTTCGTTTCTCTTGATTCTTGTGCCTGTCTGAGGTACAGCATTCAGAATCAACAGGCGATCTACACCTTGTAAGGAAAAATGAGTGGTTTCCAAGAAGCTCCAGGGAAACATTTGCCTTTAACTTCCACGGGCTGTGCAGAGAAGCCCTCAGTATAATTTGGACAGCAACAAAAGGTAGGCTTGGAGATTCCAATCAATTAATTCTATTGAAAAGCGTCAGGCAGTCTATTCAGTGAGAAGAAGGGCTGGAGTTTGAAACATTCAGGTAAATAGATAATCCATTAGAACAACAATATACATTGTGGCAAATGCCTTCCTAGTTTTGTCAGCGCTTATTTGTCTTCTTTGGAGTCCCCTGCTCTCCCGCCGAGGGATTTCTATCCCCCCTCCCACAATCTTTGTTCTCTTATTCATGGCTAAATGAAAACAGCAGGCAAGCAGTGCATACCCAGTGCTCCGTCCTGAGCAAGCTCTTCCTCTATCGTCAAAAGCCGGTTGTACTTAGTCACCCGTTCGCCTCGAGAAAGACCTCCCAACTTGACAAACTGGACGCCCAGTCCAACGGCCTGGAGTGAGAACAAACTGTCAGATGAAGGAGTGAGCCGTCTCGGGCAGAACACACAATTCCTTGGAAAGGAGACTCTGCCATGGTCTTGAGGGGTTCCTTTTCCCCTGTCCTCTCTGTAACCACCTGACTTATTTTTACATAAATTAAGGCTGCACGTGACCTGCCTGTCACCATCCCTGTCCTCAGGTGAAGCGGTGGTGGCACTGTGCGTGAGACACTGGCCTCCACACGGCAGCCGCAGATGTCTAAGGCAGGCTGGCCTTTGCCGCCTCATTTGAGGAACTAAGATTGGCAGCATGGACCCTGGTCATGGAAGTGGGCTCTTCATTCTCCCCAGACTCCAATCTTACTTCTTTTTAAAAGTTCAAAGGTTAGCTCTTTGGAAAAAAAAAAACATAAGTAGCTGTCTGGGAGGAAGCAAGTCTATTTCATGAAAGGTTACAGGACTTGCTCTGCACAAGACTTCGTCTCCCTGAAATAGCAATTTGTGATAAAAATCAGTGTTTTGGCAGTTGTGCAGTTGACCAGCTCTCAGCACTTACCAGATCAACGAGGCTGTCATCAGATGACTCGGCTTCTGTGCTTCCAAAGACGGCGGTGCACTTCTTACCTGTCAGCAAAGAGCCGGGCTCAGTCTCGTAGTGCAGATAGACTCGCCTCTATCTGAGCCTCTAGGATCAACATGTAGTTTGCCAGAGATTGAGATTTCTTCTTGTGAATCAGACGGCTGACTTGCTTGCCTAAGAATGCTAACCCAAACATCTGCCTTGCCCTGGTCTGGCCTGTTTTCACTCCTTTCTCCAATAGCTGGGATCCTCTCTACTAAATCACTACGAGGTTTTATCAAATGTAAAATAGTGTAAGTTGTAAGGTGTGCCATTATTTTATTACCACCTTAGGGGGAAATGTTTCTATTAAATGAGGATATTTGTAAAATCACAGGTGTGAGATGGATTCCATTTCATTTGTGCCACACCTGAGTCTAGGGAATAGGGCAAGGGCAAGGGCGTGGTGAGAGGATTTATGGGTGCCACCGATGGCTTCCCCACTTCACGGGGTGGGGAATCGACCACACTGAGTGCTTGCCTGTTAAGTGAGCAGTGTGGACAGTTATTTCATGAAGCACATGAGGTTCACCAGACCCCTTAAAATTTGCCAAATTCAAAGCCCACGTTCACTAGATGTCTCCAGTGTCTGTGTTTTAGAGGCAGGAGCTACAGCAGTAACCCAAGGTAGACGAGAAGATGCCTGAGGAACACAGGGTCCAAGCCAGAGCTGGGACCCCCCATCTGCCACCAGCTGGCCAGCCCCACACTGAGCCCTAGGAGAGGGCATCCTGCGTCCTTCAGCCTGAGGGCCTCTGTGTATCACTGCATCCTCTGACCCGCCTGGCTCCTGGCCGTATCTACCTGCTGGCCTGCTCCTGCTCTCCAGTGAGCCTGGTTTCTGAGACTCCCTCGTGCTGTCTGTGGTTCTGGCACTGGAAAAACTGAACAAGACTCCTGGGATGGGAGTTCACAGTCTAGTAGAGGAGACCAGACATTCATATTTACACACATGACAGTGGGCGGTACATAGAGAGCATGTATAGGAGGCTCACAGCAGAACCTGTTGGAGGTAGCAGAAGCCAGGGAAGATAGAGATGTTTTCACTTCAGTCAAGACATGAAGAAGAAGTCTTTCAAAAAGCAAGAGACAAAACACTCCAGGCTGATGAAACTGCAGGTTCAATGACCCTGATGTTACAAGCATTAGAAACTTTTGAGGAATTCATGAAAGGCCGGTATGAGTAGATGAAATCACAAAATGAGGGATCTTAATTGAAGCCTTGTTTCCTCATCAGGGAAACAAAGGAGGTTTACCTTATTCTAAAGATCAAATTCAGCTCTTAAAATGCCTGTCCACTGGCATCAAATAATGGTTCTCTCCTTGGGCATCCCAGACCACTCGCATCAGAGCTCTGCTTTTCATCTGTCTCTCTGTATCTCCGTGCCTGGAACTGTGTCTGAATCTCAAGGCAGTGGCTACAGTCCTGCTTCAAGACACACTGGTCAGGCCACAACGCCTCGCTAACTTGCCCGCTGACGTCGCCATGTTGCTGGTGGCGGCGCCCCTGCTCCCACCCCACTTCTCTGTACTGACAGGAAACCATCTGCCTCTTCTGGTTGGACCTTTTAGAGAGAGACCATAGATCCTAATAGGAGAGAAATGCTTGGCTTGCATGCTGCTGCGGAACTGGACCTTACACATTCTTACATGTATTTTCTTACTTGAACATTTTATTGGGATTGGAGTGGGCATTTTCAGAGCAAACTGGTTTTCCATTCAGTAACTCACACTCATTTGTGCTTCCTGATCACAATCCCCATGTTGTAACAGCCCTTCTGCTCCCGTTGGTACACCTGCGGAAGCCAAGCCGCACCTGGCAGATGATCAGGTTACCCTACACTTGCCCAAGTCCTAGCGGGCTCAGATGGTCTGCTGATGTCTGAGTAGATTACAACTCGCTAAGCTATTCCAGTCAAGTCTTCACAACATCCTTCCTGTCTAGTTGGTGTGTGCTCATGTGGAGGGGAAAAGCCGGGTACCTGGTTCCTAAAATGCTAGGAGATGAATCTGGAGCATAAAGTGACAGTCAATTATAGGAGAACTTGGAATGCCGTAGCAACATGATTGATGCAAGCGAGGCACAGCTGTCCCTGCTGCTCTGTCACTGTGCACGAGGCCCTGTCCTCGTTGGCGGCAAGCTGTTTGCTTCCCTCGAATATTACACTGAGCCTGCAGACTTGGCTGAGGTGAGTGGGTACCTGCGTGTTCTACAAATCCCGAAGCAGAGCTTAGCGTAGCAAGCAGTAAGGATTGGAGTTTCCCTCTAGGTTTTGCTAAAGAGTTTTTGGAACTCAACTTTGGAGTCCAATCCACACTGGTCAGTGTGCTGAACGTTATGCCTCTTGGTCCAGCTGTTGGGGACAGAGAGGCTGCCCCCCTGTGAAGCTGGCAGGGCAACAATCTTGGCCACCCAATTGCTGTGGCCCTGGGGAAGAAGACCTCCTGGCTGGGGCTGGTACAGGAACTCCTGCAAGTGAATCAGTGAACTGCATTTTGGTTTTTACCACTAAGTCCTTCCCAGATGGGGTCGAGTTACTTCCTCCCCCCACCCCTTGGGGTTTATTTGAGGCTCTTTCTAATTCTGGAATACTGCCTATTTTGGGGTGTCTTCTATAACCAAGTTAACGTCGGGATGGGGATCACAACGTCTCTCTCTTCACTCACTGTCAATGAGATGGGTCACCTCCACCAGATCAGATACTGTCGTTTGGTTGGTGTGTTTGATGATGAGCCCGCTGGCCAGCGGGATGATGAGGTTTCCTTCCTCGAGATGCTTAGAGATGCTCCCAGATGCAGCTCCTGCGATGATGTAACACCTGGCCCCAAGGGCACCCCACACGCGGTCCCACTGCTCAGAGTCCTGGGTGAAGAGTTAGAATGGATCGTTACAGTGTTCTGAACGTGGTATCAAGACAACGAGCGTCACAGAGTACGCGATCAGTCATACCTTCTCCCCTGAGAGATACACAAAACCCTGTTAGTTTGCATCTGTGGCTGGATAACACCTATAGCCAAAGCCACAGAAAGGAACAAGCTTCAGGAACAGAAACTGAAAATGATTTCGATTTGAGCTTTATTTGGTTTAAGAAATAAAATGTTAATACACATTAAGTGCTGTTTCCAATATTGATTCTGGAGTTTTTCCACACAAGCCCTCACCATGCCCTGTGTTCTCTGTAGTACTGTTAAGACCGCCTGGTTAGAAGATATGGCTACTGTTTTAAATAATCAGACAACTGGGAGAAAAGAGCCTGCGAGAACTTGGGGCCGCCTTTCTCACCCTCCTATTTTTATTGGTTGAGATCTCCATATTCAGTGCTGAGTATTCCACAGAGAAACAATACACAAGGCCGTCCCAGCCATTCCACCAACCCCTTCCATTGGAACAAACCAGGCAAGTGGATCATGTTAACTAGAACTGCTGTGGTTGGAGCCACAGGTCCCCCATCCAAAGGCCGACTGCCACAGACTGAGCCCAGCCATGTTCTCCACAAGTGCTGGTGTCTAGCAAGAGCGTGGAAAGGACAGGTGTGTGGATGGGTTCTGAGAACCCTGAGACTCTTAAGTCAGAGTCAGCATGCCTGTGGTCCCCAGTGTGTCAGCAGTAACCTCTGAGAAAACAGTGCTGTTCACTATATCTAAGAGTTCTCCAACTCATAAAGCCAAGACTTTAACTAGAATTAGAGTTTAGCTAGAGAGTATCTGAAGTGGTATAAAAGGAAACATGCTTCCCAAGAGTATGTGCTGGAATCCTGACCCCGTACCTGTGGGGTAATCTCACTTGGAAATGGTGGCGTTTTCTGTGTTAGGTTAGTGAGGGTCTATCCATGTAAGCTGTGTTCTAAATAGCCTCATGTATATAAGACTAAATACATATATATATATATGTGTGTGTGTGTGTTAAGTGCGGTTGAGTCGCAGGATATATATGTGTATATATGTATATGTAATATATATAGTAGTCTTATACATAGAAGTATATGTGTCTCTCTCTATATATGTATGTGTGTGTGTGTGTGTGTATAAAACAGAAACAACAGATTTGACACAGAAACAAGGACATGACTGCAAAAGGCAGAGGCCACAGCAAGATCATCCGTGAATCAAGGAGCCTGGGCTGCTGGCCAAGAATTCAACCTGAGAGAGACCCAGGTTTGGACTTGGAGCATCTGTTCTTGTTGTGGACCGTGTGGACCGTCAAGTCAGAAATGACACACAGCTGACCCGCCAGTGAGATTTCAGGGGCTGGGATTCACATGGGAGGACACTGCCCATCTTTTCCCCATAGAGCAGCCGGTGGATTCGAACTGTGTACTTAGGCATTGATCGCTTTCCACTAAGCCACCAGACTGCTAATTTAGCACTTAGCACGGTGATAAAACGTCCATCCTCTGAAGCCAACCACTTGTGGTTGTTTGTTTTTGCAGCAGCGCCAGGAAAGGAGTGCAGGTGGGTTAAGGGGTGAGCTGGTCTTCGGTGGCACATACATCATCCCTGCTCAATTAACCTGCTCAGCTAACCGGGTCAACTAACCTGCTCAACTAATCTGGCTGGCATTAGTTTGATGGATCAGAAAAATCTCAAATGCCAAACTTTAACAAATATGGCTTTGGTACTTCTGTATGTATACAGTAGCTGGGTTTAGAAGACAAAAACATTTGGCCAATACAAAACCTGCTACCATGAGCACATGAACTTGAAAATGCTCCTAACTGTGGCATTTGGACAAGAACAAACTGGGAGGAGGGTAGAGAGAATAGTGCAACAATGAATGAGTGGAAGCCCAAAATCTCTGTAAATGTTTATGAAAATTAATAAAATATAATTATAGAAAAAAAAAAAAGAAAATGCTCCTAGTGGAGCACCAGCCAGCTCAGCGGGCTAGGCTACCATCAGTGACGTTGGATGTAAATGTACAGGTCTCCCTAACACGCCGGGCAATGGCCTGCGTCTCTGCAGACAAGCACACTCCTATGCAACTGTCCTTCTGCCATTCATTTGAGTGATTTTACTCATACATGCTGAAATAATGCAACTCAGCCCTGGTCCCGATGACAATACATTTTGAATGACAGCGGTCCAAAAGCATGTGATTGTATTCTCCCATGTTTTGTTATAAAATTCAGGGTGAGCCCTGCTTACCTCCTTCCTGAAAGGATCGATTAAGGCGATAATGGAAGGATATTTGTTGATGAGATCCACATACAGGTCAACCATCTCGGCCGCACTTTTGAATGTCCCCGTCATCACTTCGTACTTCCCTTTACTCTTGTCCGTGGGAGGGAAACAGGAGAGGAAGGGATAAACACGGAGGTTGTCAAATGGGAAAAGGCTCCCCCCTTCTTTCAGTCAGTTCCTTTTCCCGGGGACTCTCCACCGGGCCTCCAAGGCTGCACAGCTGTAGAGAAGGGAGCTGCCTAGTCTCCTCAGGAAGAGACGGGCTGGTCAGTCAGTTAAAACCACCCATGTTCAGTTAGCAGCTCCGCAATTCAAACTCAGATAGTCCTCAAGGTTGGTAAGCCAGTTCTTCTTTAGGATGCTTTGACCTGTGAAATATCTGCATTTTACTTTAACCAGCTGTTACCCTGGAGGAACTGAGTCACCACACGTAGAGAAAATCCCTGCCCGGGGCAGATTCTCCAGCCTCTTGACACTCACTGAGCCCTTCCCACGACTCTGGCTGAAGGCTCTGTACAAACAACCATCAGGCATAGAGTGGGCAGGGAGTGGTATCTGCTTTAGGCTTTAATCCTGGTGCCAAGTACCCGGCTGCCTGGCAGGCGGAGTGTAACATAAATTCACACAGCCACCACCAATAGCCATGCCCACCTGCCCGTTTGCTGGAACAAGTAACTTCTATCTTCCACTTGTGAGATTGTGAATAAATAACAAACAACTTATGAATAAATAGGAAACTGTCCGTGACTTTTAAATACTAAAATAAGAAAGTGACAGTGGCCTTGGTGAAGGCATTTCTTTGTCAGCACTGACAGTGTGGTCTTGGATGGGTAACTGGAGTGTTTTCTTGGATGGATAACTGGAGTGTAACCTGTTCATTTAGGTCTGGAAAGGTCTCAAGTCGTTCAGCACAGCAATGAACATGGCTGAAAGGTCTAATGTCCTTCTGAGAAACTAAACTCCTTTACTGCCAAGTCTTTGTTGAGGAATAGCACCCACCCTGCTCAGGGACTGGAAGCAGGCGGTGGACCAGAGGGTGGCTGGTTCACTAAAGCTTTTCTGCTGCTATGGCAACAGAATAGATTCCCTTGAAATTGGGCAGGTTCCCAAGAAGTTCATAATTGAAGGGATTTTATACTTTCTTCACATTAAAAAGCAGCAAGAACTTTTTGTTTCCATAATGCAGAGTTTCAAAGTCCTATCTTGTCCTTGATGAAATGCTAATGACTTTGAACTAACATTATTGGGAGAATTATCTGATATTAAGCTAATAACTTTTACTGAATATAAGCAATAAATACCTATTCAAGTTAGCACCAGCAGTCAGTATATTCACAGTTCTTGGTATACGTTGTGGATGAAAACATGCAATTATTTTCCTTAATGGTATGCCTGGGAACCAAGCATTATGAGAAGAAAAGGAAATTACTTTAAACATTCTTTTATGTGCTTCGTTTCGTTGGTAAAGTAAAAGAACTTTCAGAAATCAGCAGAAACTTGGGATGCCTATACATTCAAAATTCCCTTTTGCAGTTAAAGGGAGAATCACACATTAAAGCAGAATCCCATTTGCCTGTTGTTGTGTACTGGTGAGTCAGAACTGACCCCTTGCTTATCCTCAAGCAGATTTTCAGAGGCAGTAAATTGCAGGGGGAAAGATGGCACAACTCTCTTTTGAAGAGCAACTAGTGGATTCGAACAGCCTACCTTTGTGTTGGCAGCTCAGTTCCTTACCACTAAGCCACCGGAGGTCCCTAGCCTCCTGAATTTGATTGCTTACCAATTCACCATAGATGTATGTCAGTATGCTGGCCATTAGTGTCCTTGGAAATGCAGCTGTGTGTATCAAGCATGCATAGATGAGAGTATGTGTGTAAGACAGAAAACTTTTAGTACTTTTGATAACACACCCATTTGCCAAGTTTAAAGGTGAAATGATGAAGCATAACCCAAGGCCACGAGACCAGCAACATTCTGTTCTGCACCCGGCCCATTTCTCTCTCTCATAACTTCCTCTGCATGGAGCGGTTCCCCAGGTGAAGCTCGCCCTGCCCTCCATGAGCACCACTTTGATGATAAATGTCATTACTTTGGAAATATGTTCGTATATCTATATTCACAATGTAAATTTAAGAACTGCATTGTCTAAAAGAGCCCATTGGGTCACAGCTACCACTAATCAGCTGACCCACCTTTCACACTTGATGGATGTGGTGTTAACCCACCAAACAACTGTGCTCAGAAGACTGGAGGACCTTGTTAAGTTCTGTTTCATTAACTGTCTCACCTGCAATGTGACCAGCCCATTTTATTCAGTTTTGACACAGAAGCTTTAGCTCTTTGATGAAGATGTTCCCTTTTTAATGTCTGCAGTTCTATGGCTCTGTTGCTCTTTGCTCAATCGGGTCTATTTTATTGGGCCGCCTCACACATTATGGACAAACTAACAAAAGGATTTTCCAGGAGAAAGAACTCAGCTCAGCTCTTCTTTTGAGCACTGGGTTGTTTTTTTTTCCCCAAAGGACCTTTACAAAAAAGTAAAGAAACTGAGGTGAGAACTTACATAGTCCATCAGCTCGTGTGCGGCACAGTTGATGCCCAGATGCAGGTTGGTTCCCAATTCCAGGCCCAGGTTTGCACAGATTCCTTGTAGCAGGAGGATGGGCTGCTCCATGGTGTCATAGTTAATGGCTAAACAGCCAAGGTGGGTCATTTTTCCAGTAATCTGCTGCTGCAAGATGGAATGAAGACGAGGCAGGTACACAGAGTGTTCAGTTTCTTGGAGCATCATTGATAATACAGTTTACACCCTGTAACGTTACACCTCGCCAACACTACGTGCTCCCAAGTCTCCTCGACTTCCAGGTCCCATTCATCTTCGCTGAAGGTTAGAGCATATCTAGGAGTGATTTTCTTATGCCTGAGGTTTTCAAGTTTGGCCTGGGGGTGCACACTACTAGGCTCTCTTCACTATGCCTACGATGTCTTCAGAAGCTCTGCCACGGTGAGCGGATCAGCGCTGAGACACACACACACGGCTGCTGGACCTCAGGGCCGTTCTACTAACATCCATCTGAACACGCTCTGTGTACATGCCTCGTCTTCACTCCATCCTGCAGCAGCGGTAACATCCATCCTTTGCCACTGTCTGTCCTCTTCCCCTCCTCCCTCCTCCAAACTTGTTCTTCCTTGTGCTCTGTTTTTCTTCAGAGGGACATGACTGTTCAAACTTAAAATGTAAAACTTCCTTGAGCAAAGACTGATTTTTAAAAGGATTGAAGACGCTTGCTCAAAGCGAGAGGATTAAAGACCCAAATGTCTCTGAGGAAAGACGGCCACCTGCCTCATGCAAGGTCAGCATAGATGATGAGTCCTTGCTGGAAACGGCTCTATACACACTTGTAAGTTCAGCCAAATCAGTGATTCAGAAGGGGGTGTGGGTGTGTGTGTGTGTGTGTGTGTGTGTGTGTAGACAGAGACAGACAGACAGACTAACCTCCAATAAGCATGAACCCAGGAATAAATAGCCTCATTTTCATTAGAGAACCACCCAACATTTTTAATGCCAATGAAGATAATCTTCCATTAATCAAACAAAGGACTACTTAGAGAAATTTCCATTTATCAAATGAATCCTTATATTATGGAGGATATGAAAGTATCTCTTCTGGGGACAGAGGGTTGGGTGGGGAGGAAATCATAGGGTAACAGAGTTTGGTGAGCAGGGGAGAAGAGGGAAAAGGAAAGATCCAATGGTGACCTGAATAGATGGCATAATAGTAGATCAATGGTGATTAATTTTGTAAAAGACAATGTACATGAGTGATCATTTGAAACACAATGTGGATGTAGGAATGTGTGAAACACAATGTACAGGAATGATACACTATGTATATTAATGCTGTATGTAAACCAATATAAAGTAAAAATAACATCACTTCCTCCTGCTTACTAAGTACAAACTAATTAATTCATATAAAGTAAATACATTCCTATAGAGTAAATACATTTCCTCCTTTCAGCAGCCCCACGAAGTGTGGCTACTGTTACGTATTGTGGATTTTTGACCATTTAACAGAATAAAGTAACGGAACAGATTTCACTGCAGGAAATGAGTCTAGGACCCTAATCCTAGCATGGTTGCCTCTCAAGAATCTCCCACCTAATCCTGTTCTACTAAAATGAGGTTAAACTGATCAGGGAGGGACGTGGTCTATGCTTCTCAGAGCACAGAAGACCACCTGGCTGGAAAGAAAGGGACAGAACGGAGCCTTGATTACTTGTCAACCCTCTTTTTCCTTGCCTGCAAAGCCAACTTCTCTCATTCCAACACAGTTATCTGGTATTTTATCAGTGACGTACTTAGAAATACCTCTCCTTTCTCCTAATTTTGAAGAGGAATGAAATTTCTTATCTTTATTGACTCCTTCGTCTATTAGCAGCCCTTGCTGATGATGTCTCTTGACTGTCTGTGTTGTCCGGAGGGGCTGAGGCTGCAGCTCCAGGTGTGAGCAGCCTTCCCGTGCACGCAGGATCTGCAGGGTCCCCGGATGCTGGCCTGACTATTCAGTGTTGAAAGCTCACACATCCAGGAGGTGAATCTGTCAGAGCACCTTCAATCAACAATGTGGCTGGCTGATCAAGTTCAGGGCGTCTCCCGAGGCTGTGGTTTCCACAGAGAGGACTGTGTACCTGCTGCCTGACACTGTCTAGCGTCACAGTGATTTCTCTCAAGTGGCATTTCCAGGTCTTTTAGGAACCATTCTGTGCCTTTTCCTTCTTTTTCTTTTTTTTTTTCTATAATTATATTTTATTAATTTTCATAAACATTTACAGAGATTTTGGGTTTCCATTCATTCATTGTTGCACTATTCTCTCTACCCTCCTCCCAGTTTGTTCTTGTCCAAATGCCACAGTGCTTGTCAAAGCCAGTTCTGATTAATCTTCTTTGTCAGTGTGTCCTTTGCCATTCCCTATCACTCCTCCCTGAGAGAGACTTCACCCTGAGTCATAAGGAAAAGGGGATGGCGTATTCTCTTAGCTACTTCCTGCTGAAAAGGGACGCTGTGGGTTTCAGGGTGAAGATCTTCTCTCACTACTCTAAAGGGCCCCTTTGGCAGTAGGAAACACATAGACTATTATACATGGTGGAGGGGACCTGGGGGAGGGTTTGTGGAACAATGAAAGAATCTTTTCTTTTACTTTTCCATAATTTTTGACTCATGTACTTATAACTTGTTAGTCAAATTTGTGTCTTCTAGGTTGCAACACCCCCATGATACATCTTCAAGGATATGAACATGTATGGCCAAGCACAATCAATAAGAGTGCATCTAAATTCCAAAATCAATCTCCATAATAGTCCTTCTTTTTCTAACAGAAGTAAAATTAAGCTCTAAAATACCCTATATACCTTTGAGGTGCTTATCAGACAAAGTCAACTTCCCAAGCACATCACTTTAAAGCTCATACTATTCCTCATGTTTCTCCCTGCCCGTTGGGGAGAGGAAGGACAGAAATAGATGCCAGCTTTGGGTATGCCTTGGTTGGTGGGTAATTTCCATTAGCCCTGCCTTGGATCAAAATGACCACGGGAGAGGCGCAGAGACCAGGGGTGCAGAAACCACGCCGCACAGAAGGGTGATAAACAAGTGCGCACACTTACTTGGCCCTTCTTGCCTCCATTGTGCCCTTTCTTCATCTCTGTTTTTGAAGGAGGGACCTGAGAGAAGACAGAAACACATCCTTGAGCTCGGCAGACATGTCTTTGGTTACGTCAGAAACTCTGGCCTGTCTGTGGCTCTAGGGCCAGGCCAGCCACACATCCACAGCTAATGAACAGAGACAATGCCACCCACTTCCTGCTTTCATAAGCCTCAAAATTATTCTTTCTCAAACTGAAGCATGGTTCATCTTTCTGAGCCTAGTCACATATATAGGATGTGTGTGTGTGTGTGAGATGATGTTCAATTCATTTAAAAAGATCAAAATCAAGCCTCATTCCCATTGAGTAAATTCCAACTCCTAAGAACTATGGTTGTTGTGTAGCCTCAAGTCAGAAATGACTCACAGCTGACTCTTCGGCCCGTTTCCAGAGGCAGTAAGTCACCCAGGAGGGCGCTCTGGTGGCCTAATCGTAAGAAATGGAACTGAAATTCCAAAGGCATGAGGATCAAATCCATCAGCTGTTCCACAGGGGAAAGATAAGACAATCTCCTCCCGGGTGATTTACTGCCTCTCAAAACCCACTGGAGGGTCAGTTATGGGTCTGTTCTGACTCGATGGTAAACAACAACAGCAACAACAACAAATCACACAGGAGGAGACGGCCCATCCTTCTCCTGAGGAGCAACTGGTGGATTTGAACCATGGGCCTTGGGAGTTGGGGATTACAACACAGCTTCTCACCACGAGGCCAGCAGAGCTCTGGAAGAACTCTACAGGACAAAACATAACGGCTCCATAGAGTTTCCAAGGCTGGAATCTTAATATACACAGCCTGTCACGTGTTTCTCCCTCAGAGCAGCCAGTGGGTTCAAACAGCCAACCAGGCACTTAACCACCATGTCCCCAGGGCTCCTTCTACTCATAGAACTCAAAACTCACTGCAGTCAAGGGGATGCTGGCTCAGAGTGACCCTCCATCAGGTTCTGAGGCTGTAAATCTTAACAGGAAGCCACCACCCATCACCACTCACTTCCTCACTGTTGTTGTTGGTATGTGCCTGTGACTCATAGCGACCTACAACAGCCCTAAACCCTGCTCTGTCCTGTGTCAATCTCACTGTCTCCAACACACCCATCCCCATTACCCTGGTCACTGAATCAACCCACCTCGCAGAGAGTCTTCCTGCCTGCACAAGCAGGCTTTCAGTTAGCAATACAACAGTTACAGACCATGCCAGCTTAGTGCCTAGTGTGTTACAATGCAAACCAAAATCCACTAGTCTCTTCAAGGGAGACAAATGGGTAATCTCCGCCCAGAAAAGATTTACAGCCTCAGAGGCTGCCCCGAGGTGGACTCTGCTCAGATAACCAGTGTTGCTCATATCTGGTGTACTGGGGTCTCTGTGTGCAGCACTCAGTTCCCTTCTTGACCTTAAGGAGTTAACACCGCAGTGCTGTTAGGTGCTGCCAGGCTGAGAACAGCTCATAGTGACCCTACGAACAACAGATCTTAGCCCTGTCCTACCCCGTGCCATCCCCACAATCTCACACACACTTGAGCCCATTGCTGCGGTCACTGTGTCAATCCACCTGGTTGAGGATCTTTCTCTCATTCACTCACCTTTCACCTTTTCAGCCATGCTGTCCCTCTCCAAGGAACACCCTCTCCTAACAACATGCCCTAAGTATGTGAGACGAAGCGACACCGTCCCTGCCTCCAAGAAGCACTCTGGCTGCACTTTCTCCAAGACACACTTGTTTGTTCTTTTGGCAGCTCCTGGGTTCCTACACCATAGTAGGAACTGAATTTATAGTCTGATTCCATTGTTTTTAATAACTTCATGGTTAAAACCCTCTTTCCTACCAAGGGGGTTTGAACTTTTGGAACTAGCCGAAGTTCACTGAATCTGGTGAGACTGGTGGATGTGATGTCATCGAGATGAAACGTGAAAGTAATTCCTAAGGAGGGGTCCCCATAGTGGGGTTTGATACAGGACAGCAGGAATCATGCAGTCATCTGCGCATCCACTTTAAAGCCTGATATCTGCTTGTACTTTAAAGCCTAGCATCTACAGCACGCTCCCTGAATGAAGCCTAGCATCTGCTGGCTCTATGAGCCAGGGAAAGCTTATCAAGGTCCAGTCTTCTCACCTAAGTACAGGCAAGCACAGTGATCCTGCTTCTCAGCACTTACAGTGTCAGCTGGACTTCTTCTTTCCTGTCTGATGGGTTGGGTCACAAAGATGCAGTGGTGCCTAAGACCCACATGGGCCCTGCTTTGGGGAGCTCGTAGTCTAGAAAGACAGACAGAGACCTCAAGGAGATGCACGCAGCAGCAAGGAAAGCTGTGTGAGAGGAGTGCAGGGCAAGGGGACCACAGCATGGGGAAGTCCCTGGTGGGCGCTCTTATGGGAAGCCAAATTTTATACTAAATATTTGTAATAAACGGAATGCTACTTGAGGTTATGAGGGAGGCTGATACAAGCAAGAATTCGCCTGGGAGCACTAAGGCAATCCTTAAATGTTTACAGGGGTAGGCACTAAGGCAATCCTTAAGTGTTTACAGGATTCTTGTATTGTATTTGCTAACCCCTCCCTCCTGAGTCAAGCACTAGGTTTTCAATAGAAAGAGTTCAGCTTCATTTGCAATGAATTCCCTTGGTGATTTGCTTCCTGGCAATTTTCAATAAAGACACAGGAAAGCTAAGGTCTGCGCTTCAGTTCAAGAACTGTTCGCCTACTGCTGTGCCTGTTTTCTCCTACATTCTTGGTGTTCTGTCTCATTATTATTAATATACTTTGCCCTTGGTCTGCAACAGGCTTTGAAGAGGCTGATCCAGCCTTGAGAGAGGAGTCAGATGGAGGTCAAAGGTATGCATGGCAGGGCGAAGCCTCCTGGGAAGAGAAAAGTGTACGTGAGAAGAAGGCAACACGCTGGCAGAGGGAGCCGACAGGATGGTATAAGTATGCATTTTGGAGGTTGGGGTTGGAGCGTAGACAGGGTAGGCAGGGTTTGAAGAGTGGATAACCAGTAAAGCATCTTTCTAAAGCTTTTGGTCCAAGTCATGGTCTTTGCAATTACTTGTTATGTATCAGAAAGTTGGACAATGACTAGAGTTGACTGAAGAATTAATGTCGTTTAGCTGTGGTGCTGGAGAAGAGTATTAAACATATCAAGACTGCCAAGGGAACAAACAAGTATATCTTGGAGAGAGTGATACCAGGTTGCTCCTTGGAGGATTTTGAAGCTCTGTCTCACATACTTTGGGTATGTTGCAGGAGGGACTAGGCCTTGGAGAAGGACATAATGCTTGGAAGAGTAGAGGGACAGAAAGTGCAGGAAAATAAGATCCCGGCTGAGACAGACTAACATAATAACTAGGGTAATGGGAGTAGGTGTGGCAAAGACCCAAGATAGGCTCAAGATAGGACAGGGTATGGAGCTATGGACTAGGGTCACTATTAGTCACAGGTGAGTCAACAGCACATAACAACAGCAAAGCTTTTGGACTTGAACCTAAGGGCAGGGCTGTGGGAAGCCATGTGACATGACTGGGTCAAGAGGTGCATGATTCCTGTGTCAGCTCAGCCTGGTGAATGTTGAGGAACACTGCTGGACTTCTTCACCCCTAAATTTCTCATGTGCTTCTCTAGTCTTTCCAATCAAACTTTTTAAAAAGTGTTCGAGGGAAGAAACGAAGTTTTATACCCTATGACACTTGGCACAGGGCCTTGCAACAACATTAGCTGAGAGAAATAACACGGCATTTCTCGTCGCCTTGATAATCAGATAAGATGCAATTTGTACTCAAATAACTGCTCTCAGTCTAGGTGAGTTTAAAGTTAGCTGAAACCTAAACAAATACAAGCTTTCATCAGCAACAATTAGTCATCCTGGGCTCCTGGGAGAAGTCAGTTATGCTAAAGTAAACCTGACGTGGAATAACTTGCTTATCTATGCCAACAGCCAAATGGTAGCACGAACAGGAATAATTTTCTTGCAAAAACAAAGCAGAGTAATTGCAGTAAACCCTGGTTCCAGGCCCAGCACCTCCCATTTTGAAAAGAAAAACTATGGTCTTAACTAAGGTGTTCTACAAACGTGTTTTGGGTTGCTTCTGAATGAGAAAATGCACCATTTCCTTTACAAACTTTTACCTAAAATGGGCTTAAGATTTAGTGGAGGGATTGTGCTAAAGGTTGGAATATCAGTATAATCAGCAGGACGATCAAACATCTGTTTGAAGGGGAGCTCTGGTGGCCTAGTGGCAAGAAGCTGCACTGCAATCCCAGAGGAACACGGTTC